GATAATAGAATAAGTACATACCACAGTACACGATAGGGACCATTAGGAATATGTATGAATTACCTGTTGTATACTATGTTAAGGGGTTCAAAATAATACTAGGGCATGAAAGGTCACAATATTTGCCTTGGCAACCACTACGAGTCATATTAATACTGATTTGGGTTAACCTTAACAACTATAGGTGTATATTATCGATCTACGCTAGTTATATGTTTTTTTCAGCACGTACTCTTTGGTTGTTCCGTGCTTTGTTAATAATATCACAATTGTTTCTCTTCTGTATAATGCTCATAGTTCTTAGATGAGATCGTATTGCAAAGTTCTTTAAAATCATTTGTCAAATCGTGACAACTTTTTCAATGGTGATTTAATAAATAATTCCCTTTCAAATCTAGTTAAATCAAAAAGCAACCACGTAGGGTTGATTATTGCTTATTGTAACCATTGACACTAAACATTTTTTTTGTTTTAACGACTCAGTAAGATTCCTGTTACTAACTATCTGTCGCCCCAGAAATCTGTCAGCGGATATGCGTGACCATTATCTGCAAATGAATACTATTAGTTTAAGGTTAAGGTAGAATTTGTCGATACTCGTCCATTAATTTATCAATTTTTGTGGTTGGGAAACTAGAAATCGCTTCAAAAAATTGACACATAATCAATTCAGTCATACTTTCTCACTAGTTAGTTAATACCGAATAAGATGTATTGTTGTGTTACATCAGATGACCTAATTTTAATCGTAATGATTCAAACTACCTCTTAGCAATATTAGTTTGTAATACTAAACAGGGAACATAAAACTATGAACACAATTCAACTAAATTTAATCAGTCTTTTGTATTATTCTCATCGAACATTAAGAAGTTTTCTTTCTATACGTATATCTATTAATTCTTCTTATAATGACCGTTCCCTGGTGCTCTGTAAGCATGTTTTTAGAACAGCAGAACACTTAATATAATAGGGCTAATAATCTCACCTTTTTCTGTTGTTTAGTTTTAACCAATTACAATTCATAATTTCTTTTTGACCTGGTTTACTATAATGACTATTTGTACTCAGTATTGGGTGGGATATAGTCATACAGTTTTGTCTTGTCAGGTCACATATTAACGTAATATAAATTATTAAACTGTTTTGCTTACGTAACCACATTTATTTAATATTTCATTTATGTTTTCAAAAATTGGTAGCTTCATTTAAAATCTGAGGAATTAGCTCGCGCATGTTTAAAACATTTTGAATTAGAACAGCAATTAGCGTTTCATAAAATTGATGAGAAATTGGGCTTAGTTGGTTCATGTTTATCAAAACCACGACGTAACTCATCTTATGTTCACCAAGTAAGTAATATTTACTTTTTGTATTGTACTACGATCGGGTCTTTAATAGATTTCTTGCTATAATATTTTGTAATATGGATTATCTATAATCGTAAGTCAGTGTGCATTAGACATAACCAGTGTTTCACCGCTCCAAACCGACTACGAAATTCTTTGAATAGGAGTTTATACTTGATCGTTAATAAATAGTTTAGGAATATGTTTAGCTACAACTTAGATGCATTTCTCTGGAAGTATGGATTTACAACTTTTTTTCCTGCATAGAACCCGAGTAATTCAAATTAGCAGTTTATTTCTTCTTTATTATCGAAATCGTAATTGTATCATCGCAATTATTTACTTAACTGTTTCTTTTCCTGTAAAATATTTCAATATAATACTAACTAGTTTTATTCGATATGATAATCTTTCAGTATGTAAAGTACCCTGAAATTCCCTAGTCAACCTTGGTGACAGTTTGATCAAAAATAAAGTCAAACTAGCGATTAAAGCCATAATTCAGTAACCATCAATATAGTAACACTGAGAATCATCGAAGCTCCGGTTGTTCATCTCATCAGTTGTACTACTACCAGTGGAAATGATGATATTTCATGGTTTATGAATCAGCTTTAATTGCTCTAAACAGTATTTCATTAGAATTCTTTAGATTAGTAAAATAACGATGAGCTAAATCTTACTTAAACAATGTACAGATCCCTTTACTCTGAAAGTGGAAAATTCGTTTTAATTAGCTAGAACAAAATCCTCGATATCCATGTGATTGGTTTGACTTCATTTCATAATTATTTGGTAAGAAGAGAAATGGCTTAAGATCGTCACTAGAATCCTAGATTTTGTTTAAGCATGTTTTTATTACTTCGTTATTATAGTGTGACTAAGTATTCTGTCAGTTATTGTGAAAATTTCAAGTCCTAGACAAATGACTAATGAAACAAACGTTAAGCATTTAATTCTACTTCTTTTTAAAAGTGTACTAATAGTTAGAGCCTTGTCAACATTGTTCACTTCTTAGGTTTTTGTTTTGTCACTAGCCCTGTTTATTCCAATATTTTACACTACCTGGAAGATTTTTCTATCCCTTTGGGTCGATAAAATCAACGGCTTATCATTTTATTCTGTAATATAATTGGCCAATATAAAATTCGATTAATTTAATTATGACTCATCGTGTTACTTTTTTTTGCCTAATTGTCTGTCTGGTAATACATGGTTTTAGAAATAGCTTTGTTTTCAAGCCGTACATACAGCAGGTTTATTTGAGTTATAATACAACTTTATGTCATGAAAAATACTAAAGAGATATTGTGGGAAAAAAGTTTTAAAATTTTTTTATTTTGATTAGGTTTGGTTGTTTATTTTTGGAAATCACTCTACATATAGATTGATCGTTCATTTTAATCGGGAGCTTTGAGTTAGTAACTAAATCAAATTATCAGTATATAGGGGTTGTGGAGATTGTTAAGTTTTTGATTAAGATCATGAACCGATTGATGTTAGACCACCATTGAAAACCTGGAATCACTAGAAGGCCGTTTCGTTCTATTGTGGGACGAGCCCGCTCTCGGGATTCTAACCCAGAGCCTTCAGTCTCGCGCACGAACGCTTATCCTACTAGACCACTGAGCCAGCATCCAACGGTCTTAATGTTTAACCTGAACCAATCCACGAAATTGCGCGAACGAAACGACCGTTCAGTGTTTCTAGATTTTCAATAATAATCTAGCTTAGATCAATTCATGAATTCAACTGTGGAAATATAGTTTCAAATTTATCAACTTAAATAAATTTCAATGATACAATAGTGGAATTAGATTTCAATGTTGTTACACCATTATAAATAGTTGATATTGTAAAATTAGTGATCGTTTTTCATAATTGATTAGAAAAAAAAGTGAATTCATGTTTGTCTTTGTTCAATCTATATCATTTGTAGCATTATGTTTCAAGTTTTGCAAATGAATTAAGTTTGTTTAGTTATACAATATCCTTATTATTGTTATTGCACTCATTTCATACTGTACAATACACATTGTATATAACAGATTTATCTAAAAGTTATATTGTTGTTTTTCACATGATTACCATGTAAACTAACTCATATTATCCTATTTTACAAAAATCAACATCCAAATATGATTGATTTAATACAGTATAGTTTTGATTGTTAAAAAGTATATATATATATATTTCTTTGATGATTTTGATTTTGGTTATTATTACCCTGAAGAAGTTCAAACAAGTTAGCTGGACGAAACGTTGGAATTATTTTAAATTTCAATCACTGAGATTATTTCAAATATAATTTTCACATATAATAACTTATGTTGTTTTTGTTTTGTTCTTAAAATTTATTTTTCATTTGTACTGTATTGTTTTGTCCTTTTGTCTCTCTCTCTCTCTCTCGTTTTTCTTTTTTTTTCTCTTGAAGGTTCCAGATACTGGTGATCAACCTTATCTAGGTAAATGTATGTTTAAATATATATCAACAAATAATTCAATAAATGATCATTCAGTTGAGAATAAATGTCCATCTGATAATCATCTAATCAATATACAAAATAAAATGTCTTCAAATATAAATGATCATAATGACTGTCATAAATCATATCTTAATTGTTTGGATAATAAATTAGAAAATAATTGTCATGATAATATCCATGAAAATTCTAATGTTACACATCAATATTCTTCTGATATTGTAAGTGGAGTATGTTACTATAACTTTTTGATAGAAAGTTTTGGAACTATTTATCTATAGAAAGATGTTTTTCTGTATGTTTAAATGTCTAAACTCAATTAATCATTTTTGTTTTATTTAAAAAATTTTCTGATTTAATGATGTCTTGCTCTTTGAAATGTCTCACATTAACTCGGCGCTCAAATACTGTGATACTATTCGATCAAATTTAGACGAAAGTTCTTATTTAAAATGTTTAATCAAGTTTATCTTTAGTTGAATTAGTTAGACTACTTAATCATGATTAGTAAATGTTACTAATATGAAAGGGATTTTCTCATTTGATCATTGTTGTTCTCTTTTACTTTCTGCTTTCTCTCTTCTTTTTTTCCCCACAAAAGGTCTGAGTTTATATTGATTCAATGACAATTAACTATGTAGTGCAGTGAGGAATGTATCCACTTACGGTTTTAGTGTAGTGATATTTCACTGTAATTATGTAAATAATTCTCAATATATTGGTAGTGAATATATTCACTTTGGAAATCCCCCTAATCCTTCGAAATTATCGGGTTGGTATAATACTAGTGATGATGATACTTTGATCAAGTACAACCCGATTAGTCTTATTGACGATAATGTTGATGATGAGGAAACTCCATTGTTTAAGATGTATAGAAGACGTTTGACATTCTAAACATTATTAACATTATGTACACGTTAAATTAAATAAGCTACATTCAATAGATATGATATAAATACTGGAATATTGATATCTTAAGATATTTATCATGAATTATGGAGAAAAAAACGCATCCTTAATTATAATAAACGCTAAACTGTCAGCTAGAGAACTTGGCTTTGGTCGTCCACCGTTTAAGAGGGGATGAAATTTTAGAGAAAAATTTACAAAACAACTACAGTTGTACTAATAGAGAGCTAACCCATAACTCAACGAGATTTGGTTTTGTTAGCGGGACATAGACTAGATTAAAGCATGCTCAATTCACGATTGCTTTGGTGCACGCTGATTGGCTAATTCTTAACCAATCAGCACTAGTCGATAGTTGGAGAACACTCTAGAATCTTCTCATGTAGAAAACTATAAATATACTGACGTTTTTCTCTATTGTGCTTCTGACTTGCTATTTGGAATATAATCTCTTTCCTGTTCAACCGTGTTTTGATTTGGGGACTTGTCGAGTGAATCGGTGTCCGAGAATACTAAGCAATAGGAATAGCTGGGTCATAACCGTAAGAAAACAGGATTATAACAGTGGCGACGGGGAAAAAGGAAAACAAATTCAAGATGCCTATATCAGATGACCAGCTTAACCGAATACTACAACAACAGCAAGCACAACTTGATGCACAAATGCGGTTGTTGGAGACTCTGACTCAACAGCTCAACATCCACAGCTCGAGTTCACACGCTATTTCAAGTTCGTCTTGTGATGCAGTTGCTAGCAGCATCCCAGAATTCATCTATGATCCCGAAAATGGAAATACTTTTCTCACGTGGTTCAGACGTTGGGAAGATACATTTAGAACAGAATTCTGTAATCAAGACGATGCGTGGAAGACCCGATTGTTGGTACGTAAGTTGGGAAGCAACGAACATGCACGTTTTGCTGACCATATATTGCCAAAGTTACCTCGAGAGCTCAGTTTCGAGGAGACGGTATTTCAGCTGTCAGAGATATTCGGCGAGTCATCTTCTCTTGGTGTTTCGGAATGGCACGAACCAAACAAACTGCTCGCAAATCAACTGGAGGTAAGGCGCCTCGAAAGCAAATACTATCGGTCAAGCTGACGCTCTCTCCCGATTAATTGGAGTTCAACATCCTGGACCAGAGGATATAATCATTGCCTCCACAGCAGTAGACCCAGAAATACGAAGTATAGTGGCAGATGCCATTCGAAACACTCCAGTGTCGTCAGATGAAGTCAGGGAAGAAACGCTTCGAGACCCAACACTACAAGAAGTTAGAAAGTTCCACCTAGAAGGGTGGCCCTCGAAAATCAGTTCCACAGAGCTTCAACAGTTTTACCAGCGAAGACTCTCTCTTTCAATCATCGATGACTGTCTGCTGTTTGCCGAACGTGTCATAATTCCCAAGAAGCTACAACCAGCAGTGCTTGAACAGTTGCATGCAGGACATCCTGGGATAAATCGCATGAAAGCACTAGCACGAAGCTATGTATACTGGCCGCATTTAGACACCCAACTGGAGCAGCTATCCCGTTCGTGTACCAAATGTGCATTAGCAACAAAGGCACCGCGAAAAGCAGAGCTGCAATCATGGCCAATACCACAGTCACCGTGGCAGCGTATACATTTGGACTTTGCTGGTCCACTTCATGGACAAACTTACCTTTTGGTGGTTGATGCATATAGCAAGTGGCCAGAAATTTTTCTCATGGAACACCCTACTGCAAGCTGCACAGTCAGTAAACTACGTCAACTATTCAGTCGTTTTGGAATCCCAGAATTGATAGTTAGTGACAACGGAACACAGTTTACGTCCGGAATCTTCTCACAATTTTGTCGGCAGAACGGAATCCAGCACCTGCGAACACCTCCATTCCACCCCCAATCAAATGGCCAAGTGGAACGCTTTGTGAGTACATTTAAAAATGCTCTAAAAAAATCCAAAGGGGAAGGGACCACTGAAGATATCTTAGAGAGGTTCCTGTTTATTTATCGCTCCACACCGAACCCTCAGACAATTAACGGGGTCTCTCCAGCAGAAGCTCTACTTGGCAGAAAGATACGAACACATTTCGATGTCATCCGTCCTACGCCAGCTATTGAACCCCAACGAAACCTATCGATGGAGAATCAGTTCAACCGACATCATGGGGCACAAAGACGATTGTTCACGGTGGGACAAAAAGTGCTTGCTATGGACTATCGTGGGAAACATCCTACATGGACAGCTGGTCGGATCTTGAGAAAGAAGGGGAGTGTGGTTTACGAGGTGTCAGTTGGCTCGGAAGTTTGGGTACGTCATGCTAACCAATTGAAAGCAACTTCGATAGCCAGTAACAAGATTCAATATCGATTACCTCTTGATGTTCTGCTAGACACCTTTGAAATCAAAACGCCGGGAATAGACACGTCAGTTTCTGTGCAAGAAAAGAGTGATACTTCTCTATTGCCTAGACGATTGACTAATCGAAAGCAAAGGCCAGTCACTCGGTTGCAGTTGGACCCTAACACCAGATCCTACGAATCTGCTCAAAGGGGAGGTGTTAGCGGGACATAGACTAGATTAAAGCATGCTCAATTCACGATTGCTTTGGTGCACGCTGATTGGCTAATTCTTAACCAATCAGCACTAGTCGATAGTTGGAGAACACTCTAGAATCTTCTCATGTAGAAAACTATAAATATACTGACGTTTTTCTCTATTGTGCTTCTGACTTGCTATTTGGAATATAATCTCTTTCCTGTTCAACCGTGTTTTGATTTGGGGACTTGTCGAGTGAATCGGTGTCCGAGAATACTAAGCAATAGGAATAGCTGGGTCATAACCGTAAGAAAACAGGATTATAACAGGTTTATATTACTAAACATTTATTAAAAGAACAAAATATTCACATATGCAAACGTCCAACACTCGATCGATAGCGATTACTGGATGGATGTATTCGACGTCTTTTAAAATAATTAACAAACACCATATTTGGTTTTACAAAACCCATTAATTAACAAACCTTTCCAAATTAGTTTGTGTATACAGAATGAAATTGTGGAAATTACTGCTTTGTTGCGACAAAAATAACTGTCATGAGACAATTATGATTATGTAATCTCATTTTTTTATCAAACCGCTGACTTCTATTCATTCAGTTGATTTTACCTGAATTCCCTAAGTTATGTAATCATTTATTATTTTTATTATTAGTTCGTGATTTCATCCAATGTAGATTGTCTTGATACTGTCTTAAGTCACAAGGATCTCTGCTTATAATCCTTGTGACTTAAGACAATATCGAGGCAATACTACACAGGATGCAAAGATGCCAAAACAGATTGATCATTAGGAAACCTAAACATCAATGAGAAGATTCAAAAAACCAATACCAAAATGAGTAAAACTTCACTTCATTGCACAAGCTAATGGATATATGGAATCAGTAGCTAAGTCGATAACGCGGTGATATTTGATGCAAACGGTACTGGGTTCGAGTTCCAGAGTAAACGTCAATTCGGATCCAGTTATAACAGCCGACGAGTGCCAAATAAGACAAAACACGCTTGCTGGATTACACCACTAGCCACCATCCATATCTGATATTATTTTTTGTTGTAGTTTTGGTTTGTTTTCATCTTTGGCTCAAATGATATCATTTAACCCTTTGAGTCTCATTATGCTTGTTCTTTTTCTAAAAATCATTAAAAAAACCCAACTTCTGAAACTAATAGTTTTATTAAAATCATGACTACAATTAGACTACTTATATGATGACATAACATATCAGTAATAGTGAATCGCTTGTGGACTTCTCGGTCGGAATTATCTAAGTCTGCATTTTATGAGCATATCAAGTGTATCAAAGCCGAACTTGGTGAATAAAAAAACACAAATACACTGAAAGTTACTACTTGAAATAAGTTTTTTTAAAAATAAGAATTACACTGTAGTATGCATCACCCACTCAATAGCTGAATAGAAAAATAACAGAAAATACTAGTTACGTTACACTCAGTGAACATTGAAAGCATTACGGATAACTTCAACTGATTTTTTTAAATTACGTACATTGTTACAAAATTTAACCTCATTCACCATGGTTTTTATATAAAGTAACTCAACAAATTCCAGTTCATCTTACTTTAACATCATTGTATCAGTAAGATAGGGTAGTTTAATCAATTTTTTAGTATATACTTCTGTCTAGCAGAGTTTATGTCAAGGTGCTATTACAATGGATTTGTTTCTGTCTAGGTTCAAATCTTTGTAAACATAAAACTTTTAAATGATTGTCTAACTGTTTATTTTCAGCGTACAACTTGTTTATTTTCCATTCTTCCTATAACTTATCTTAGTTCGATACTTTACCACATTCAAACAATATTGGTTGTCCTTGTAATTCGTACGGTTTTTTTTGTTAAATTTATCAGGTACCACCGATTAATGGAAATCAAGAATTAAATCCTGAATTAGATCGTAATCTGATCAGCTTGAATAATCAATTCAGTAAGTAAATATTTTCTCTTTTTGTTTTGTTCACCACTTTCATATATCCTGTTTTATTGTGACTTAAAATAGACGACAATATGTAATATATAATAAAAATGTAAGGATGAACATGTTCAATACAAAAAAGAGAAAATATTATTAGTCGTAATTACTTATTCACCATTTGGGTCATATTTATTTCATTTCTCATCTAAATCTACTAAGTGAGAACTGTTAAGTGTACTATTAAATGACGTTATATCATTTGACTCTTTAACGTTCAAGTATATACAATATAATTTCGATTTACATTAACATGTCATCAACTGTTGCATTACTTCTTCTAAGGTGAATTGTTTAGTTGATCTGAAAAATTATTAATAAAGGATTTGTATTGTTCTATCGGCTCTTAATTATTAAACTTGAACAACAAGTAGATTCCTAGTTTATATTGATTTTTTCAATTACTTTATCTCAGGAGTTTATTTAATATAGGTATTAAATAGATGGTTTATTAGTTACTCAATTATGATTACTATCCTATGACTAGTTTTGATCATAAGAAGTAAGTTTAAGCCCAACAGCCAGTTATGTTGTGATACAAGATATGAAGAGAATTACATATGTTTTCTTATCACGCACTACAATGAAACTAAACACAGTGAAAATGAAATTAGAATGTAGTTAAGTTTCACTGTTGTTTCTTGTGAATATGATTGAGTGGTATTTAATCCTGACAAAGCCAACAGTTTCACTTTCCATTTACATACGATTAAATCCTAGGCTATTGGCAAATAATAACAGTGGGAAATCTGCCAATCTTTTTGAGACTCATTCTAGTGCAATCTTTACAAATAATCATATTGTAGATTAACTAGGGATGTTTACCTCTAGGGATTTTAGTATTGCCCTATAAAAAATTAATTCTTATTTACAATATAATGAAGATGGTCTATTTTATCCTGGTGAAACCTGTTGTTAAACTCATGATTTAAAGGGCATCCGAATAGTATGATAATCTTGCAAATATTTATCATAAGCCAATATGAAACTAATGAGTTTGAATCAAAGTGGTTAACTTAAATCTGGACTTACTAAACTTGTTTCATCACTAATCTGTTGGTAACTAATGGTAGCAAAATCAATCGTAATAATAAACGATATTAAAGAGCAGTACATCACAGGTTTTAAAGGTAGTGTAAACGCGTAAATTAAATGATCCAGATTTTTTGACAATCGTATGTATCAATTTTATTCAGAAAATCAATTGTTGATTGGTACAAGATTTACCTGTAATTCATAAAATTTTTCCCTCTTCCACTCATTGAAATAAAGTGTATGAGAAACTAACCTCAAAAAGCAACATTACTGATCTATAACATGATAGTTTAGTTTGTCATCGGTTAATTAGTAATTTAGAATTAAGTTATGATTGAAGAGTTCACTGAGGGAATTAAATCAATGAAGGACTAGGGATTCTTCTTCAAGCCTTATAATTCGTGAGATTGTATCATACTACTTAATCCTAGTAAGTAGCGTAACGTTATTTCCTTAAATGTTCAACTCAGCTAATAATCACAAAGGTTTCTTGCTTCACATTACTCAGAAGTTTTAATTAAATACAATGATTTACAGTATTTTACTCTCGTCTATGATAATCAATGTTTCATGATTATCCTCGGTAATTGCTTGAAAGTTGTCACAGTAATCTCTATTAACATGCGGTTCAAGTTTCTTACCAGGATTGCGTAATATGTTAATTTTTCAGGTCACTTACCTCAATCAGATCCACCACCCAATCGTTCATCTCCAACAGGTGAATTGTTTCTTGATAAGGTTCGTAAGTCCCCAACACTTGACAAACCTCTCGATGATGTAAAATCAGTAAGTCGACTTCATTTGTCAGAATATTTTAATGCATTCTTGACTGATTTTGTTATAGCT